ATACTGGGCTAATGAAGACGGGCATATGCCATACAGTGTGCTATCGCCTACTCTTATATCGAATTCCAACTGTCAAGGGATCTTTTACGTGCATTCCAATGTATACACGGGACCTCGGTTATTCGTATCACCCGAACGACTAGACAGCGGGGGGGGGGGAGCGAATGGTTAACGCGTGCGCGTTTGGTCATAAGGTCTGTCATTTGGTCAAGTGGCGTGGTTTCCATTAATGATTTGACATGCTATATACGATTAAAATTTTATTACGAAAGATTAAATTCGGCTTATTTATTAACTTTTGCATATCTTAATCGTGTAGTTTCATCATTTACTTTCTATTATTAGGGCCCATGTATGGTTTTATTATAAAATGACTAAATGGGAGTTGATATCACGGATGTAGCTTCAAATATATTTTTAGTCCCGAAATGACCTAGTTTGTGTCGAGTGGACGTTAAACCCAATTCTCTCTCTCTTTCTCTCTCTCTCTCTCTCTCTTTCTCTCTCTCTTTCTATCTCTCTCTCTCTCACTCTCTCTCTGTCACTCTCTCTCTCTCTCTCAAATATATTTTAGAAGTAGAAATAAGGTCACCATACTGTCTTAATCCATTAATCTAAAGACCGATATATAAAACCGTTACATTGGCTATATTATAACATACGTTCTACCTCCCACACATCAGTTACACACCTTGTATAAAACTTCATGTCATGGTATATAAGTTATGATAATAGATTATAACTATCCCTTATCATGCCCCTCTTTAACAAAACAAATAGAATTTAAAACAACACGGCCGTTATATTGTTTATATCGCAATTCTTCGATAATTTTATATATAAAACGGAAATACAGGAAGGGATAAATCAAACGAATGCGAGATAGGCGTTTAGAAAATACTCCTAAGTAGATGAGATGGGGGGGGGGGGGGGACGAGGGGGCGTGCGCTGTATCATGATGTGGTCTCTCATTGAATTAACTGGCGTGGTTTCCATTCCCCGGTTGTATGTGATAAGGAGTAGGATCGCCTACATTTTGTTTTAATGACAACGTCTTGATAGTTAGAAGATAATGTAAATAAATAGAATTCTATCATTTTTATTAATGACCTCTTTTTCTTACACACGACGTGTTATTATATATATTAAAGGTATTCTGCACATTACTTCTTGACACGCGCAAAGAATGAGAAATCGCTGATTACTTCCGTTATATATATCTTTATGACGTATAGATGTACTTTTTATCTCAGATTGGAATTAATTTAAATGGAATGAGATTCAGAGTCTCTATTATTTTTATATTTCGAAAATAAACGAAAATATACAAACAGTATTAAACATACATTATGCAAGAGCTAAATTTGCCTATTGCAGGTCTTTCTTTAGTCCTGAAATGTTATCTAAATGGTTAATTAGACATTACTTAACTTATCCAAACCATAATCAACTCCCGATGCCATTGCTAGCCTGCGATATTTACTGGATTCGAATCCGATTTGCTGCTCAACGCTCATTGATGATTTAATCAAAAAGTGGATAATGGAGACTATGTTTTTTATCGTACCAACTTTAGTAATGATGATCGAGGCTAGGCCTAAAATCAAAAGCTAAAATCTCGGTTCAGAGTGGATCAATTTGACTGAAATTTTCAGCAAATTCCCTTTACATTTTATCATTATGAGAACTGCCAGCTCTTTATCTAATCTCTCAAAATACCCCTTTAATTAAAAAAAATATTACAGAATAGCATATTACAAAAATATCGGTAAATATTAAAAAATGGTGGTGAAATCAGTTTAAAATAATTTAATCAATGGTATATCCAGAGGAACAGTCAGTAATCATTTTAAGAGCGAGGGAGATTCGTATTAAACTGAATCAACTCCCTGGTAAACGAGCCAGTGTGTTACTCGTTGAGTTACCGAAGCACCCACATATTGCTGAAGGCCATTAAAGGTATTCCAGAAGGAAGTGTCATCTTAAAATCGCACAATGTTTCAGTGAAATGAAATGAAATCAGGGGCTAAGTGTGAGGGACGCAATGACGAGCTTTGCATCATGGTTTTGAGTTTTTGCACCCCTTTCATTTGTTCGAAAATGGCAAAACAATAACGCGGTTTCGCAGTTTTCAATATTATAACCATAATGCTCAACCATATATGTCGGTCCGACATTCTATAAATCGACTCTAGCATGTCCCAAATCGCTTAATATTACCCGGTGGCACTGGGAAGGACTACCCCCCCCCCCCACACACACACATATAAATATTGTTTTTTGGGGGGCAAAATCATGGGTCACCACGCCCCTGAATAAAATGAAATAGGGTTTAACGTCCTACTTTTCTGTATCAACCGGGCTAGTACGCCATACCGTGTGCTCTTTATATAGTCAAAAAGAAAACCCCACAAATAAATGATTATACAACGCCGGGTCATTATAAATACTTAATTAAAGATACATTATGTAAGATTTAGATAAAGAACTAGCCATTCTTGCTATAATAGTTCAAAAGTAGATGATGTAAAATGAATAATTTGAAATTTTCATTCAAATTACTCTATTGTAAGCGAAGATATTAGCCTTTGAAGGTTTGACAGACTTGTGCAATAATTTCAACCACCGTCCTCCATATTTGATTAAATCGAAGTATCGCTGAACCATTCTAATCTATTTAATATCGGAGAAATCTGATGCCATCGAGAGTTGATTAAGGCCTGGATCAGTTAATTAATGTCTAATTAATACTTTAGAAAACATTTCAGGCCTAAAGAAAGACCTGCAATAGGCAGATTTAGCCCTTACATAATGCATGTTTAATTAATTGATGCCTTTTCACTCGGGAAAATACACAAAGGAACCTAGCCAAACAGGGTACCGAATAAAACCGCGACACTGTTATTCATAAGCTTAATATGGCGAACACGCGAACATGTATTATGGCCATTTATATTAGAAATCTGTTGACTTGAACAGAAGTAAATGTGGTGAAAATGTAATATTCCAGTGTACAACTTTTTAATGGGAAAATCGATCCAAATACGATGTGTGAAAAATGAATCCAATTTGTATTTCATTAGTTTTCATAAAAGAAGTTCCCATCATAAACCAATTCGAATATGTAAACATTAGAAAACGTAATTACACTGAAGATACTTTATGGGAGATTAGATAAAGAGTTGGCAGTTCTCACCATAATAGTAAAAAACTGGATGATGTAAAGGGAATATGCTGAAAATTTCAATCAAATTGCTCCGCTCTGAACCGAGATATTAGCTTTTGAAATTTAGGCCTAGACTCGATCATCATTACTGAAGTCGGTACGATAAAAAACAAAACAAATTTCCCTCATAGCACATCCCATGGCGTATTCCCATTTTCACTCAGTATAGCCCGTTTGCAATAGAATAGTAGGACGTTAAACCCCATTTCGTTTCACTTTAAGAATCGTTCATATAAAGAATGCAGTGTCTGCGATATCACTTAATTACGTTAAATAAATTTATTTGACAAACGCCTGGTGTATTCTTTCTTACAGAGCACATGGGAATAAAAGAAAATATACAAGTCGAAAATGACTCGATCAGTCATAGCTATATAATGACCATTTTAAACGTCGCAAGTTTACAAAGGAGAAAAGTGTTTACGTCTTTTGTGTACAATTTAATTGCTGTAAAAATACGGAAATTTAACTATAGATACAACCCCCCTGCAAAACTAATCATTTCATTTCATTTGGTAAGGCCTTGTAGCTTATAATTATATCACTTTAATTTTATATGACTTAAATACAGTAATTTAGAAAATTGGTGCTCAATTTTCATCTATAGTTGATTATCACAGAGCGAATGAAAAATAGAAAAATCACGATATTAATTGTTATATTTCACCTAAAATCGATAACAACGTCAAAGTCTAAAATTGGATCGGATATTGTCATCCGTACTAGAGTTGACAGTCGATATAAAATTTGAGAGTTATTATCTAACGGTTCTAACCGCTTATTGACTTGCTTTCTTTGATGAACGCTCTATAACGCATTCGAATTTATATTCAAGCGCTCTTTTATTACTTTCTATCATATTCGTCCACACACGGTTTGAACAAATGCGTGTCCGTCTCGTATGCACTATGTGTCCGCGCTGGAGAGAGAGAGAGAGAGAGAGAGGGGGGGGGGGTACGAGTTGACTTAATGACAGACCTTAGATAAGATAAGATAAGATAAGATAAGATTTTATTTTATGATCAGTAGTGGAATACCGCGTTTTATCAGTGAAATAAAAGTGTTATTCCACTGGCTCCAAGCGGACAAAGTAGTCCATGTTGTTTTTACCTAAAATGATTGTAAAATCATAAAATAAATAGAACATTTGTCGTTTTGTCGTGAATAACATATTTTATTTCATCTCTAAGCAAAAAAACGTTTATATTTTCACTTATGCTACGCATTCGTGAAAATAAAAGTTTTCTTGCTTCTCGATGAAATAAAACATGTTATTCACGACAAAACGACAAATATCCTCTATTTATTGTATCATTGTATCCACCAAGGACTTTATGATACGACGCGCCCGCGCAAACCATTCGCCCCCCCCCCCCCCCCAGCCCCACCCCCTCCGCGCTGTATATAATTATACTGTATATTATATTTTCCCTTTTAATGTTTATATTGGTATTGTAACTGATATGGTTATGTTGAAAATAAACACATTTTCATCAGGGCTATTAATAAAATATCGGGGAATACATTAATAATTATAATGGCAACACTGTATCTCAAAGTAAATAAATCCATTTGTATCATATTTTCCGGTAATATATGGTATGCGCATCAATCTCTTGTTTCTTAAACGAACGTGGGCCTACAGCAAAAACTGAAAATTTATAACTTTTCTCGTTTTTCTAGATTCCTAATGGAAAAATGTTCGCATTCAACCCACACTGTTTGGCTCATCCCACGTGACCTATATTGTTGACATCACTGTGCGCATGTGTGTGAAACCTTGTGTAGCAGATGACATAAAGGATTACGGCGTACAGGTGGTTGGAAAACCGTTAAAATGAAGCCGATAATTTGGATTATTTCAACGTTATTTTGGTGCCGGGGTAAGTTCAACTTATATGAATATTCTAAACACATTTTCCTGGGTATTTATTCAAAATCAAAATCATTCTTGGAGGATTTTGTTCTCAGAAGGCTTGGAACAATGGACGAATGAATGGTTTGCTCTGTGACTATGGATGGCATGTAGCTTGGTACTGTTGTTAAATGTTATCACAATAATGATCGGTTATGTTGGAGCCATGAAGTTCACTGACAAGACTCAGAGAATGGAAGTTGGGACCAATAATTTATCATAGCCAGTTCGACATAAGTTCCATCGGCTATATAAATTGATATGAAATACAAGACCCGCAGAATAATACCGAGAACTTCTTAATCAATGATTAAAAAGAATGACATTAGATCTATTTCTTCAGACTTAATTAATCAATAAAGAGAGTTGTGAAAAAATACTCATAACAAAGACAAGGAAATGAAAAAGTCAGTTCCCATTTTTTTTTGGAATAACAGCTAAGCTTTGTAAATTTAATTCACTTTTCATGAACTGGTCGAGGAGTAAGTTACATGTATAAATTCTTTCATGTTCAGGTCTACTTTGCTTTTATTAAATTGAATTAAGTTATAATATGATTTTCCTTTGAACCCTTGTCTTTGTTATATATATATTAGGAAAAATGACGAATAATGTCACAATGACAGCTGTTTTGTGTGTATTACTGTGTATATATTATGAATTACAACTGAGTTTATTTTCGATTCAAATCTTACATTCACTAATAATTTCTCCGTGAAAATACCCTGTTGTTAGAGTAATCTGAAATTCATATATTTGTGTAAACATAATTTAATGAGTTATAGCCAAGGGCTTGTGGGCAAAACACACACAAGTTTTGAATATCAAATAGGAGTGTTTCACAAAAGAGGCAAACGTCTGTCCTAGCTACATATTGATTAATTCAAACTTTTGAATTGAGCAATGAAACAAATAATGGATGTCGTTTAGTGATCGTAGAGGAGTTTTCTGTAGTACATGTATATTTCGCTAACATAAAATGTAAAAGATTATTATTGGTATAAAACTGTAGCTTTTGTACCAATAGATTTTGTTTATTTGTTCAAGTGTGTTCTTTGACCGCTGTGTACAATTCCTGACCATGTGGTCATCAGTTGTAGTGAAGTCGTTAGCTCACTCAGACAAAATGTAAACAGTTGTTTAGTCATACCATGTTTATTTTTCGTAAAGGGTGGTAAAATGCTCAAGTTGCTATCCTCAAAGCTTACATGTTTCAGGCCCTAATTCACAGTTTGGTAGATATTATTAGCCCAGTTTTATTCACGAGAATTGTAAGCCCCTTTATAAAGTGTATGAAAAGTGTTTCGGTGGGTGTTCTTTGTGACTGTAGAAAATATTATTACAGGGAACTTATTTAATTATGGGGAATACTGTTGATTTAAAAACGGGGGTAAGCTTAACGGCCCTCTTTAGTGCATTTAATGTAGCAAATTTTTAATTTGTGAAAAATATATTCTATTACTAATACTTATAATTATTGTCTGTTTATTTACTAGTTCTATATTTTATTTACATTTGGCCTATTCATGTGCAGCCCTTCCTAAGAATGACAATATCCTTTTTAATTACATCACGTCTGAATGCATCATTGACATCTAGATACATGTAGATGTATAGGCTACAACTGTTGTATATTTTTTTCTAATAAAAGGGATTGCCAATGATTGTGAGATAAGGTACTCCACTGCTTAATGGCAATTTATTTTTCCTGTTTATTACAAATTTAACGTCCAATACATAATATAAGATATTTTATTATGGACAGGTTGATGTAATTAAGTTTTTTACATAGGAAGGAGTATTACAAGATAAAACATAAAAAAAAATGTTCTTGTATATAAAAAAAATGTCACTTTAAAATTTTTAAAAAATAACCCACAATGTTAAAATTGCCCAAAAGTTATTCTTATCTGCAAGCCTGGAAATAAGGCACCTGTCACAGACAATGTCAGGTACAGATTCGGGCTTTGTCTGGCACTAAAACTTTGATGCCTGTCATTTTGTCCGGCACTGATTTGTCTTTTTTATTGAAATTATTATTACATGTCCAACACTAAGTTGAAAATGTTAGGTTCTATTTCATTAGTGCCTGACATTTTGTCTGGTACATCTAAAACCATTATTTCCAGTCCTGCTATCTGCTACATTGTCTAAAGTCACAGCCCTAATTATAATAGTTTATAATTATAAATAAACTGAGGTGTTTGTTATACATACATGTAGTAATTAAATGCCAATGAATTAATCTGATTAACTTCATTAGCCAAATTGAGTTCAAGATGAAAGTGACACAAAGCCGCTCACTCAATGATTTTTTTTAATTTCATCAGATTTGAATGCATCTTTGAAATCTAGATACATGTAGATGCGTAGGCTACTTGAAGTTTATTTTCACAACTTGTTTATATTTTGTCTTAATAAATAGGGATTGATGTCGATTGTTAAGTAGGTACATTATGGGAGATTCGATAACAGTTGGCAGTTCTCGCTATAATAGTTAAAAACCAGATAATGTAAAGGCAATTTGCTGAAAATTTCATTCAAATTGATCCACTATGAACCAAGAACTAAGCATTTGAAATTTCCGCCTAGCCTCTATCATCATTACTAAAGTCAGTACGATAAACAGCATAGTCTCGATTATCCATTTAATCGTTAAATCGTGAAGGAAAGTTATGCAGTAAATCGGCTCATAATCCACTTAAAATCGCAGGCTAGCGATGCCATCTAGAGTTGATTATGGTCTGGATAGGTTAATTAATGTCTAATTAATAATTTAGATAACATTTCAGGCCTAAAGATAGACCTGCAATAGACAGATTTAGCTCTTGCATAATGTATGTTTAAATGACAAATTGACCTAAACTTATTCTGATCTGCTGCATTGTCAAAATTCACAGCTCACATTATAATGGTTTATGATTATTAATAAACTGAGCTGTTTGATAATATTAATACAAAGGGATGCTAATCAATCAGTCCAATTAACTTAATTATCCAAATTGATTTGGAAAGAAAAACAACCCATCAGAAAATCTTTTCGTTATTGATATTTTGTCTGGCTAAAAAAAATATCTTTACATTAGTGATGAATTGCCAAAAATTATCTATTTTATGGATGGATACATTCCTAGTTATTCTGTCTGCTACACAGCACTTTAGTAGATATACCGACCTTTTTATATGTTTCATATAATCACCCCTATAGGAAATACTGATTAAATATTTTGATGGATTTTTATTTAAGTGTGGGCATCTACCGTAACTTTCTCTCCTCAGACATGCTTAAGGACTTGAAAATGTAATAAAAGTGTTACTTGGGAAAATAGGCAGACAACCAGACAAGATAAAGAGCTTAGTTTGAAATGACGGTACAATTTGTACTACTGTACACGAGATCAATTTAGCAATTCCAATCAAAATATAAACCTGTAGTTGTAAATCTCATGGGGGTCATAGTGGGTTTATGTGGGTAAGACGCTGGCTCAGTAGCCTGGAGGTCAGGTGTTCGATCCCGGCATTGGCCGAGAAAGTTCATCCAGATTTTCCGACATGGTCCCCCCTTGTCAGTGATGCAGGACGGAGGACAGCTGTCTAGTCATTCGGATGGGACGAAAAACTGAGGTCCCATGTACATATTGCGTGCATGTAAAAGATCCCTTGACAGTTGGAATTACATATAAGAGTAGGCCGTAGTGCTGCTGTCCGGGCAAAATTTCCCTCATAGCGCACTGTATGGCGTATACTCGTCTTCAGTAGCCCAGTCGGAGCAGAACAGTAGGACGTTAAACCCCATGTCATTTCATTTTGTAAATCTCCTGTGTATTGAACGAGAAGCATGGTCTATTGATTGGGTATTACGAGATTAGTCGAGGGGCAATATGGATGATAACACTGCAGGCCGTACAGATACAAGTAGACTAACTAGATTATATAAACTAGATATTGCCCTGTCTAATAATAATTTTATTAGATTACATGTTACAAGTCTGTTGTGTTTCAGGCAATCATTATTGCTCAGATGTTACAATATGTGCATCATATACATTCCAATAATTGTTGCCACAAGTGGGTATAAACCATTCATACACCATGTACCAGTATAGGCAGACTGTGAATGTTCCGCTCAAAGCCAAAAATGAACAGGTTTTATGTTATTATTAGTGCTACGCCTAATAATATTACCAGACGTCATTTTTTATTGATTACATGTTGCAGAAAATCAAATAAACAATCTGATTACAACACAGATCTTATTTCGTTTCGTTTTTTTTATAGTTCAAAATTTCGTTTTACTTGTCTTTACTACACTAGGATCTGGAAGAGTTGTTATATAACCCGCATTCTGGATGATGTGAGGGATTAGCCAATGAAACGGTTTGTTATACATGTAGTAGACCAAGTTCTTTCTCTTTATAGTAGTTTGATGAAGGTTTACATCTGTACACCATGTTTTAGTTCCAACTAGATAATCTAGCGTTGTCCGTTCGTTAACAGTTCCTGAAACACATAGGAGAGAAATTCACTGATTAAATTGAATATTTCTTGTGATCCCCTCGTCAGAAATTGATGATTTTTGATAATAATGGTCATAGAATAGAACTTTCATGTAACTGTAATTCCAACTTGCGCTACCCCTTTAACTAATTGGTAGTCATCAGTTTATTGATCTATAAAATTTAATTGACAGTAGCAGCTTCACTTCTATGACCAAATTTCATTTTACATTTGACACTTCAAATTAAGATAATGTAATTTTATTAGAAATGTCATGGATGTGGCAAGTATTTGATAAGTTGTGAGAAGGTCATTAATAGAATAGTAGAATAGTAATTGATACCTCATAGAGTGACCTTTTATAGACCAAACCTAGTGACAGGGTGTTGTGGTTCATCAAGGAGCTGTCATATCATGAAATATACCCTCATCAAAGTCTCAGCTGTTTGTGGCTGTGTGGTGATCAAACTT